ACTGTATTAAACATGCTGTTGTCTACCCATTCCCTTCTTCCATATGGATTCACGATATATCAATTGAAAACAAAGTGGGGGGGGGGGGTGGGGCGGGGTAAGAGTTCTTTCTTGCATCAAATGCCTCCCCCTTGGCTTTTTGGTCAGCTTCTTCTAATTATCCTTCACTGCTGGTGGCAATATCCACCTTAACCTCTGCGTAGATGCTGAAGGATTCTTGGAGGGTCAGGGTTAATATTCTTACCATCTTACCTTCCCCATTGGCAGTGCTCTGGCTCGGATCATTGATGCAGGCATACTGGTACTCGATCTGCGGCTGCTGCCCATCAGTCTGCTCATAGCCCCGGGGATGATGTGTCTGTCTCCGATGGCTGCTGTGACTGGGGGACTATGAGGTGTGTTACCAGGCTGGTACTGTTGGGTGCTGGGTCAGTGTATGTGGTGAAGATCTGGTTGACATCCTGGGTAAAAATGGTGGAGTGAAGTGGTTGAGGATGATAAAATGAGACAAAACCTGCAGGGTTGCAAAAGATTCAATTTACACCGCAAATGTACAGGGAAAAATTAAAGTTCAAACTTAATTATTTTAAAAGACCCTAAGTGTTGGCATTTGATAAAATCCACCAAAATCCTTGTAAACCACCATACCTGCTCACAAGGTACATCAATTTCAACTGATTAAATTTATTTCATTGTTTTTTGTTTTTTTCATGCAGATTAAAGGGGACCATTACATTACAGCAACGGCATACTCAGTTGTCTTGAAACAGCACTGAAACTGCGAAGGTTAAAAAAATAAGTGCATTTTCAAACAGTTTAAGCCAAAAAGGTGTCTCTAATCATTCTCAAAAGAATAAATACTTGAGTCAAATGTTTGATTGTGAAATTTATTTCAGAGAGTCTTTAAAGCTATAAATAAGTCCCATGAGCTCCGGAATTCAAGCATCAGGAATTTACAACATTTTCTGAGTGAACCATGGTAGTTTACCCACCTGTGCCAATGTTTAATAGCTTATCACTGTTGATGCAGTTTAAAGGGAATAAAAGTATGCTTGGAAGGTCTTAATCACTCCGTTTAAAACCGCTTGGAGTCGAAGGCGATGGTATTTATCAGCACCCAGACTCCAAGCGGTCTTAAACTTAAATACCGACCAAGCACATATTTATTCCCATTCATAAATACCTATTCGGTCAAAAAAATCCAAACCTTTTGGTAAAAAACCTGATTTTGCTCAACAAGTTCACTTCATGTTTTTTTAACACCCCTCTTTAGCTAAATAATGGAGTGTCCAGCTCGCGAGTAAGATGTTAACAACTCCTTTTTTGGAGATTGGCACATGCGTCACACATACTGCGCGATGTCATGCAAAACGCACCTGGGGCGTTGCGTTGTGAATTTAGGACTATGAAATACTGACTCACTGGTAGCATTGCGCATGCCTACGTGAGGACCAATAAAATGGAAAGAGGCACTGGATTTCATAGGAGCCAAAATTTCAAGTGAGACTGGAAAAGAGTTGAAGACCAGCCAGCCATGTCCTTATCATCCGTTTAAGACCGGCCACATGGCGGCTTCTCGACCAATAGGAATGGATAAACTGCCATTGGTATTTATGAATTGTGGTTTACATGTATTGTACGTGCAGTCTGATGTGCCCACTGGGATAAAATGAAGTACATGATTGTAACATTGACCATGACATACTGTACCCGAGTAATAACTATCTGTATTGTGGTCTCTGGATTACGGAAGTGTTGCTGGTAGTGCTTCATAGCCTCGTCCCTCCTGCTGAACCCGTTGTGACAGTGGTAGCAGTGCCAGTGGGCACCCTTGAAGTATTTCTGCTCGTGAATGATGCCGTGGACGATGCAGGATCTACATCACCGCAATATTTTAAGACCTGGGGAGGGATACAGTAGAGGATTGGTTTGGCAATTTTGACAAAAGCTGACAGCTATATGCACTTTGACAAAACATGAACTGTGGATCTTTTTATATAGTTCTCTTGCTGTAACAGGCACAAGTAAGCTATTGACCTGAGTTAGGACTCTTGTTCAGGCAGGCCGGATGCAAAGTTTTTCCTGAGACACAGCCAGCGCTTGGGCATGGCCTGTGACAATTGAGTCTATCAAACACTGGTATCTGCTAAGAATAACCAGCCCAGGTATCTGTCAATTTCATAAAACTTCCACAAATGCCACTACCTTGTCCTGCTGTTCACTACCTTCAACTTATCTTAATTAACCCTAACCCTGCCACATGCAGCACAGTGCATCAGGTGGAAAAGTCTGGTGCACTTTGCTGCATTTCAGCTATCAACACCAGTGCAATAACAGCCAGTTCTGAAACAATGAGAGCTAATCCCATTGAACAATGCCTCAGTTGTATCCTGCTGCGTTCGAGGACCACAGACTCCGAGGCAATTTGGCCTTGAGACTTTTGACCTGATGGATCTTGCTGCACTCGGCAGGCTTGTCACTTAGACAAGTGTTGCATTCAACTCACATGGACCTTAAAAGTCATCTTGTAGCATGACTTGTGAAGAGAAAGTGAAAAACATTGTCCTTTGGCTTAACCTAAAACATATTTCTTGGGATCCAGTCACAAGTATGCGAGCGCTTGGTCTTGTTCCCAAATGCAAACTCACCCCCAAAGTTGATGCCTTTATCCACGTGCTTAACCCTGTAGTGCGCCTTGAGGAGAATCTCATCAGTGAAGAGACTGTCCTGGGAGCAGAATGGACAGTGCAGATGCGGAGCCTTCATCAAGGAGTGGCTACACTCCCTGTCTGTGCATTGTATGGGCGTCCAGTCTGCCTCAGCGCCTTTCATCCGCACTGATGGATGCGCCTACAGTTGCGAAAAAAAAACATGAGAAAAACTGTCAAGTAAACATGTGTGATGTAAAAAAAAATGTGAATGTATAAAACGGCTACGCCAATAAAATCAGTAGAAAATCTCATTTTCTACTCGAATCCAAATCTTCACAGCAGTTTTCAAAGTGGTAGTTCATAAAAACCAGGCATAAAACATTTAACAAAGAAACCACTCGCAGATGGGATCTCTTTTGAGGCGGTGGAAGAGGTTTTAGAAGGCTTTCTTGGGGAGCCAACAGTCACCTCGGAAAGAATGTTGCAACCTGACGCTATTTCAGCGGTTGTGTAAAAAGTCTATGGAGAGTCCAAAAAAATTTCAGTATTTCCTAACAAAATTGGAAATGTTTCTCAGTCCAAGATTCATGTTTTATCATTTTTCCAATGACTGACCTTCATTGAGATGATTTATGAGGGAAAAAGCAGCATCAGGTTGCAACATTCTTTCCGTCACCTCTGATGCTGAACCAACACGAGGAAGTGATGTAGAATAGTAGGGAGTACTGAGAACTACCCTAGCAGTCACTCCTAGAACTATGATGCTCCGCGAAGCAGAGCCTCATGGACAGAGAACCTCGCAAAATTGTTTGCTACTACAAAACACCAACTAAGTACAAAAACGTTCATCAAAACATAGACATTTTCCACAGAACCGCTGCACAATTTGCCCAAAAACTCCATACAATACCTCATGACATACGCACGTAAGTTGCGCCCTAACAAACATCGCTGGATTCTGTCGGTTTTTAGGCCAAAATGATGAAAAAATATGCCCTTTCCGCACTGAGCCAACCTGACTCTTGAAACGTGTAGGCAGATTTGATCGATTGATGATTTTCGGTTTGCTCGGAGCACGCCGCAAGCAAATGATACGCGCATGCGTACAAGTGCAAGTACCGTACCCCCCGCGGCGTGCTCCGAGCGAACCGAAAATCAGTGATCGATCATTATCTTTGTGCACGTTTCTAGTGTCAGGTTGGCTCAGTGCAAAAAGGGCACATATTTCGTCATTTTGGCCTAAAAACCGACAGAATCCACCAATGTTTGTTACTAGGTGCAACTTACATTACATGAGTATCCTCGACTCACCATAATTGAGGCAGATAACGCTTGCATTAAAACACGCGCGTGTTGTCCAACGCAAATTGAATGTGAGTGCATCAAAACATATCCTGGTCGTTTTTGTTGGACTGACAATATGTGATGGTCATTCATTCATTCATTCATTCATTCTTCATTATTTTTACCACATCTCATTTCATTATGTGACAAGGCATAAATACATACATGTAGTTTTGGGTATTATAAAGTTCGAGCTTGCTTTACAAAATATATTTATACACTTTGGGCGCATTATTTTCTAATTAGAGATGGTGGAAGGGGATCCCCAAAAAGCGGAGCTTGTCGAGTAGGGATCCCCTTTAACATAGATTAATACAAACATTTAATGAGAAACAAATGAAAAACAATTGAACGTATACATTTTAAATTGTCATGAGGGATTGTGCTGCAATTAACCATTTTGTGGGGTTCTGTGTCTATGCGGCTCCGCTCACGCGGAGCATCATAGTTCTAGGAGTAACCGAATACCGTAGCAGCAGCCATTCAATATTCATTGTGAAGTGTCCGGAAACTGGACAATTTCACATTTTGCTTTCTTAAAATTACTTTTGCGGCGAGGTGTCCAACTCCATCTAAAGAATATAAACAATTTTCCACAATCTCTTGGGTACCTACCACATAGATAGCCATTTTCAATAACTCCTCGTCTTGAATAATCACATAAATTCTGGGGGGGGGGGGAATTCAAGGGGAAAACCTCAAAAACATTGATCCCCCGATATCCCCATGTTCAGCGTAAACAGCGCCCTCCAGAAAAAAAAACAACAACAACATGGGTTTAAAGGGTTTTTGAAATTTCGATTCATTCCCAGATGCGGCTTTGTCTACTATAATTATCTGAAGATTATGAAATTTCCACGCAGCTACTCAGAAAGCGTCAGTTGTCAAATAAGAATAGACAAAAAGGTATTATTTGGCTTCCGTTCGTCTCGTTAAAAAAAAGAAGGATGCCAGTTCAATATATATATATGAACCTGAAGCAGTTGTGAACTGCGATGGAGGCCGATGTTTCGAAAGAGCTTGCATGCCCATCGAACGACACATGAGGGCAGCATTCAACAACATAAACATGCAACTGTACGGCGCTGTCTTCCGAGTGGCTGAAACTGTACCTGTTGTTACCTTTGCCACTTTCTTAATACAGGTTCGTCAGTTTACTAATTTTATTTAACCATTTAATAAATGGTAACATTAATTTGGTTGTTTATATTAGCTATTGGTGAAATCTGCATTATTGTATTTAGTGAAACGTACTGCAAGAAGTCGCCATAGACGTATGGTGGTGTACCCTAACGTGGCGCACTTCGAAGCATACCCAAATTTCCTCGTGTAGTGTTGCCAAACCTCTTTGTTGACAAACCTCAAATTCATGCAGTGAAATACTGGTACTTTTACCTTATTAATGCTTGCTGTTTAACCTCTGTGAACAATTTCGGTTTCATAAAATTTAAGCCGAAATTAAAAAACGGTGGCGTCCGGAAATTGGGCACAATTTGGCGGAGTGTTCCCTAACGTGGCGCACTTAAATAAATCTCGGGAAATTCCAAATTAACATTTAAGAATTTCTGAAAACTTGATAAATTCTGATAAATCATTATTATCTCTACTTACATACCCAGCCAGATGTTTGTCACAAAATTATTTTCTTATTTTTCGGGGCATTTTCAAAGGGTTCACTTTGCACTTGAAAATAAAATCGGAAAATCACGCCAAAATAAGTTTTTCTTTTAACTTTGTAGCGGGTAAATAAATTCGGAAATTGTGGTTTCTATCCAAAAAATCCGTTCAAAATTGCAAAACGGGTGTCATTATAATTGAGGAAAAACTGCTTTGATTGTAAAGGTGATTTTTGAGCAATAAAAAAAAAAAAATTTTGACTCCAATAATATGATCAAAACAAAACAGGGGCCCTACACTTCATGATCGCCGTAATATTTCCCTAAATGACCTAAGTATCAGCCATCAGAAAGTGATATTTTGTCCTAAAAAGTCTAAATTAGGAGTGCCAAATTTTGAATTTTTACCGAGAAAACACTTACAAATTTTCAGAGCAGTCCCATAGGGTTTGTGCACGGTGTGACAGTGTGACAAGTGATGGCCAGGTATGGGAATCTTTCCCAATTAACATCAAAGGAAAGATTCCCATAATATGGCCATCACTTGCCACCCTGTGCACAAACCCTATGAGACTGGTCTGAAAATGTTTAAGTGTTTTTCTCATTTAATACTTCAATATTTTCCTAGCTCTACTGAAAGGAACGCTGGAACTTCGGTACTCATTTTTCGTAAAAATTATTCACATTGCCAGGTTCATGGGCCGGTACGTATGGTAAACCTAGCCAACTGTGCAAACTGCAAAGTGACACGGTTCCTGTGCCGTGCTGACCGGCCAATGTGGCCGTCCGTACACGGTGACATTGTTGCAGTTTGCCATTTTTCAACGGCATTAGAGACTTACTTGCAAATATTACCGAACTGAATTTTTGCACTCGAAATGTATTTCCATACCAAACTGTGTATTTCTTGCTATTTTATTTTTGATTTTATGGATGATCCTGCGGTTTTCTGATGAACCATTGCGCTGCCCGAGAAACGATTGCTTGTCTGCAGTCCATCATGAATCGATGATGATGTCAATTCAAAAAGTCATAGTCAGTGATTTCGAAAGTTTACCTACATGTATGGCAAAAAGTCGGATTTAGTGATTTCAAAAGTTTACCTCTGGCAAAAAAAATAAAAATACCTTTAGGTTTCTTTAAGATAATGTAAACTTTTAGAATTGATCAAATTAGGTTTTGCCCTTCACCGACGTATAAACACTGTATACTCAGTCTGTTACCTCCCGAGTGAAAGTTGGGAAAAATCAAGCCGGTGGGACTCGAACCCACGATGTCCAGTGCTTTCTAGTGCAGATGTCTTACCACTCGACCACCAAGCTAACGGGATCTGTTGGCCGGTTCGATTTGAACTTTAGCAGCGGGTACCGCATTAACTATTTATTGCCAAATCACCCAGTATTGCTGTTCCAATGTGCAAGGAAACAGGTCATCTCGTACCTTGGGCAACTTGTACCTTGGACAACTCTTACATACATTTAATGTGACATCATTATGCCAACTCGTACCTTGGACAACTCGCACCTTCAATAAAGACGTCTCGTTCCATTACGTGTAAGTCAAGTCGTACTGAATCAATTAAAAGTACAGGCTGCTCTTTTAATATGTGTTTTAATTTTGGTTATTAGACTTCGCAAGAAAACGAATGCAGGAATTTCTTTGACAGTCACCATATGTGAAGATGAAATGGTTACCCTCTCCTATTCATCTCAACATTTATTTCCATATTTCAAAGAACATTCAGGTAACTGCACAAAAAGGTCAAGAAACGAATGTTTGTTAAAAAATATGAGATTAATGATTATGTAAAGACACAACTGAAAAAAAAGTAAATTTAGACAAAGTAAATCTTTAAATTTGCTTTCTCTTATTTTGTCTCTGTTTAATTCTTTGCTAAAGCTCGTTCTGGATGAGAACATCATAAGCTTTGAACTTGCTACATGTACCTTGGTACTGGTGCATGCAGAATGCGCATCGGGCACTGAAGCATTATAAAAAAAAGTTTCCAAATATTCTTGAAGTAATAACTAACACTTCTTGGCAGCAATAATCCTTCTGTTTACAAAAAAGGACCACCCACCCCCCCCCAAAAAAAAATGTACATGTACTTAAAGAAAACAAAATAAAAGTTTCCAAATATTATTTAAAGGTACAGTCCATCATTTGCATGGACTGTACTTTGTTCGTTTGAAGCAACAAACGTGCTCAAAATCTAAAGAAGGGTACTGAACAACTAACGTGATGAAGTTTCAGCTCAGCTTCAGCTGTACATTTCGAGTAAAACAACATTCTAGGATCTCGATTTCAAATCAAAAGATGCTGAATCTTGTTTTGAATTTGGCCTGAATTCAGTGTTGGAGACACGTTCTCACTGAGCTAATTGCAGCTATGCAATGTCACGCACTGATCTGACGAATTAAAGCAAGCGCGTGTGCGTCGTGTCAACACTTGCGCGCACTTCGCCAACTAACAAAAGACACTACTATAAATGAAAATTTCCAACCATGTGCCTTTAGACGCATCGTTGGAAAGGCCTTCTTTCATTGATTTCTTCCCAATGACAGCATGCCAGAAAGAATAATTTCACAGGGAGTTTAGTCCCCTTACTATCTTTCAACCAAGTAGTTATTCAACACTAAATATCGTTTTGGATAGCTGCAAATGATGGACTGTAACTTTAAATGATCACTTAAACTTCTTGGCAGCAATAACAGAATATTGAGTGCATATTATGTATATAGCCACGTTCATGGGTCTATATTAAACCATATCTTATTTTTCTTCTGAAAGCAACATTAGAATGTATACGTGTCATCAATAGCAGCCCCAATGCAGTATACAAGGTAGAAAAGCCACCAAAATCATACTGTTTTTCATATTTTAGTATAAAGCATAAATAATGAAATGTTTCTCCTGAAGAGAGTCAGAGCATACTGACCAGAACGTCGAGTTGATACATGTACCTCTGGTGCTTTTCAGAACCATTCTCTTAGTTTAGAAATTATTCTCCCATGGTGTTCCCGCAAACCTTTCATTATTTAGTATCTCCACCTTGCAAGGCCTCAACTCTTACTTATAAAGCATAGTTCTGTTTCAAGTCGACCAAATGCTTCATAAATGATTGCTGCATGGTGTGAAGTAAGTTTAATTTCATCTGGGTTTGGATAATAGGGGAAAAGGTGAAGTTTAGTATTTGCCAAATTTCACGGCCTCCGCCATTTTCGGACTGCTGGACAAAAACTAAATGTGCCTCCAGCTCTACATGTCAAATTCGTGATGAGCATTGGAGCTGGAGTTTCTCATCTCCATCTTGTATTGCAAGTTTTCAATACCTTAATATTTGGCACTCTCATAGACAGTATTGAGAGTCCCAAATGTTTGGACTAGAGTTTCTTAAGCTAGAGCTGGGGGAACAACTATTGGAAAGAGTTCCACACCTGGACATCACTTGACACCCGGTGCACAAACCCTAAGAGACTGGTCTGAAAATTTTGAAGTGTTTTCTTCGTAAACGTTTCAATATTTTCCCTGCTAAATTTGACTTTTAAACATGTTATCCGTTTCTGATGGCTGATACATGTAGGTCACTGTGGGGAAATATTAGTGATGTGCATGCAATATGTACATGTATGGAATTCTTCCCCAACTATTTTTTCCCCAGCAGTCAGAAAATGACGGAGGCCATGAAATATTGCCTGAAATTGTCCTTTTCCCCGATTATCCAAACCTAGTTGAGATTAAACTCACCTAAATACCATGCAGCAGTCATCACAAAGCAAAGGATCGACTGGAAACAGAACTACGCTGGCTAAAATATGGGGAAACAATGATGATTTTGGTGGCTTTTCATATAGAACCGTCGCGTCGCAGCCGTGTTATGGCGACATTTACAGCTCGCATCTCATACTGGTATGGTATCCACATATACATCGCACTGCATAGAGACATGTACACGATATGGTTACCATACTATTTTCAGGTGCACGTTGTGATTTCAAATTTCCACCCCTTTCCCTAGATATCCCACTGGTCATGGCTTGCAATAGTATACAACTGCTTTATGTCAGTTTCTTTATATTTCCAGTGTGTTTTTGGTCCAACGTAATAACACCAAAATGGATGAGAAGCAGGGACCAACTTCTGATGATGTCCCAACTGGGGAGGTAACGTCAACCACAGTTACAGAGGGTGATGTTGTCAAGAAGCCAACAGATGCGGCCATCACTATGGATGCTATTCCCAATGAAGATGAGGAGGACAAATCCAAAGGTGACTTGTTATTCTTTTACTTGGTGAAGACGTTTGCTCCATTCATGTGATTTTGTCCATTCTTGCTTATTGGAAACTTAATACTTTAACCCAGTGAAATTAATTTTGCTGCAAGATAGTTTTGTTGCTTTCCAGGTAATTTTTATAAATTGGGGGAATGAGGGTTCAATTTCATAAAAAAAATTGCACCTTTACTTGGTACCCATACTTGGTGGTTATCCTGAATACTCCACGTGGAAGTCTAGCAAGGAGGCCTTGGGGAAGTGGAACTAAATTAAATCCTTAAAGGTGTTGTGGTTTGGGGCGTCTGTGGTGTCTTGAGGGAGCTTGTTCCATTTCCGGATAGTTCGGGGTAGGAATGACTGCATATAGATGTCTGTCCTTGCTGCAATTTCTGTCAACTGGTGGTTGTGAATTCTACGAGCCGGTGCTGGTTTGGGGACTATGGATGATGAGTTAATGTGAACTATGTTGTGTATTATTTTAGTAGGTAAGTAGGTAAGTTGGTTAACTTTCCTTCTCTCTTCCAGTGAAGACCAGCCTAGGGTTGTCAACATGTCAGTCACACTGCTCAGTCTGGAATAATCTCGCATTACGAAACGAGCAGCCCTCATCAGTTGCACTTTTTCCAGGGATGTTATGTTCTTAGCTATGTGAGGGTTCCAAGCAATGCTGCCATATTCTAGGTGTGGTCTCACTACTGCTAAGTACAGCTTTTTTTTGACAGATCTGGATGCAGAATGAAAATTTATTTTGATGAAGTTCAATATACGACTTGCTTTGGAAGTGGCATGTGCTGTTTGGTGATTCCAACTTGGGTTATTCTGAATGATTATTCCCAAATATGTGATGTTGGTTTTCTCTACGAGGTTGGATCCTAACATGGTGTAGTTAGTTTTGCCGGGGGCCCGCTTCCCGGAGATTCGCATGATGTTACATTTGCTGGAATTAAATTTCATTCCCCAGGTTTGCGCCCAGTGAGCCAAGTTGTCCAGGTCTTTTTGGAACATCGGTTCATCAGTTGATGAGCAGATCTTCCGATATAACAGGCAGTCGTTAGCGAAAAGGCGAGTTGTGCCAGTCACTGATTTGCTAATGTCATCGATGAAAAGTAAAAACCGATGGGGGCCAAGCACGGTGCCTTGTGGTACGCCACTGTCGACACTTTGCCATTTCAAAGATTTTCCATTTACCACAACTCATTGTGACCTGTTGGTTAAGAATTCCCTGATCCACCTTTTTGTGTTTTTCCCCTGACCCCGTAGTAGTCTAATGTTTGGACCAGTTTTTGATGAGAAACTACATGTATGTCGAATGCTTTGGAGAAGTCAAGTACTGCCATGTCTGTGGTGATTTGATTATTGTAATTGTAGGAGATGTCATCCAAAGTTGTTACGAGTTGGGATTTGCAGGACAGGCCTTTACGAAAAGCATGTTGGTTTTCGTTCAGGATGTCGTGTTCCTGGAGGTGTTTCATTTATTGGCTATCAATGATGTGCTCTAATAACTTAAAGCAAACAGAGGTCAACGACACAGGTCTGTAGTTTGCCGGGTCTGCACGAGAGCCTTTCTTAAAAATGGGTGTTACGTTGGCTTCCTTCCAGTCAGATGGTAGAGAACCCAGGTCAAGTGATTGTTGGAATATGAATGCGAGTACTGGGGCAACTTCATTGGCAGCTAGTTTCAAGTTGAGCGACGTCAGTAACTTGAGGACTCCGCTAACAGACACGGTGATGTTTTGTCAAGTCTGGGTAGGGACTCGGTGGTAGAACTGGCTGCACATCGGTGTCATCCCTGCTGAAAACACTACAGAATTGGTCTTGTAGGGTTTCAGCTTTTTCTTGGTCAGATGTGATATTTTTCCCGTTGAGTTTTAGAACCTGAACCCCTGTGTTGTCTTTACGAGTGCTGTTTACGTAGCGCCAACATTTCTGGGGGTTACCTGTAGATGTAGTTTCTTGTAAATGTGTGCGTTTAGCCCTTCGGATTTTGCTGTTCACTTGCTTTTGGGTCATTCCACCGGGTTGGGAAGCAGTGCATGTTACATCCATATATTTGGTTATATTATTAACAGTATCAATGCATTCTAAACAATTGCTCAATTTAATATTTGTCTTAAGTTGTTTCAATACTTGAGAAAGTTTGAAATCATTTGAAAGTACTTTGACAAAAATATGAGCAAAAATGTATTAATTCGGATGTAACATTGACACCGTGTCAATGTTACTTCCAAATATTCCTTTTTGCCATTTTTTACACGTATGTAAAATATTACCCAAACTGACATTGCATATTTACAACTGGACACCCAAGCACCAAGAAAAGCTTTTGTTTTGGTATAGTCAGGGTTCAAATATAGCAGAAACAATACCTCTAGTGTGGATGTAACGGTGTAAAAATCACTCAATGGAAGTGTGACATTGGGTTTTACACCGTGTCAATGTTACATCCACACAACTAAGCTATCATTTCTGCTCCATTTGATACCTGACTACCGTAACAAAAGCTTTTGTGTTGCATGTATAGTAAGAAGTTAGCAAAGTGAATTTGTGTGATGTTTCGCAGAAATTAAAAAAGAGGTACAAATGTCACATTTGGATGTAACACTTACACGGTGTCAATGTTACATCCAAAATGACATTTTTTGCTCATATTTTTGGCCAAATACATTGAAATGATTTCAAACTTTCTGCAGTCGTGAAACACCCAACAACAAATATTATGTAGAGCAACTGCTAGCAAGGCATTTATGCTTTTGTTAATATGGTCATATGTCACACATTGTTCCCCAACCCGGTGGAATGACCCTTTGCAAAAGTTTGAATGTAGACCGCTTGTTACTGCCTTCACATACATGTAGCTGCGCTCTTTCTTCCTGCAGCAACAGATTAGGACAGTAGTGAGCCATGAGGGTCTAGAATGTCCATGGACTGGTTTTTGTGGTACTAATTCGTTAGTTTTCAGCCTGTCCCTAAAAATACTCCAATTTGCCTCAACTGTTCTGGTTTCTGGAGATGACTGCATGAATTCGGTCTTAAGCTCGAGGACGTCATTCATCCACGTCATTCCACTTGAAGATAGTCCTAGGGGGCTTGACAGAGCGAGGTGTGGTGATGTTTATGTCAGCTAACACTGTTGCGTGATCGCTAATCCCGGAGTTGCTGTAAACATTACAAACCAGAGTTGAACATGTGGTGAAGAGCAAATCTAAGATGTTATCTGTTCCTGTAACTGGGTCTCTCCTTGTAGTAAAATTTGCCTTTTGTTGGAGATTGTAGTCATCTGCGATGTTGATAATTTTGGATTGAATACCGTATGTACCAGTCCTTGAGTTCCAAAGCATGCCCAGGATGTTGAAGTCTCCTCCAAGAATGATGAATGGGGAGTTTACGAAAGTCCAAGTGCGGACAGTGGTCACATTTGACCATTTCTCATTTGACCATCGTCTCGGTAAAACCTTAAAAAAAAAGTCCAGTGTGGACACGGCTTAAGATGGAATTTTGCGTCGGGGTGATGTAAATCAAATTGGGTTTTGCCCTTCACCGACTATCCATCTTATGAATAGTTAATGCAGTACCCGCTGCTATGTACATCAGATTTGAACCAACCAGCTCGGTGGTCGAGTGGTAAGATGTCTGCACTAGAAAGCAGGAGGTCGTGGGTTCGAGTCCCACCCGAGTGATTTTTTTCCAACTTTCACTCGGGAGGTACCACACTGAGTATACAGTGTTTATACATCGGTGAAGGCCAAAACCTAATTTGATTCATTCTTTTGTTGATTAATACAAAGCCCATTAAAAAAGGCAAATAAAAATATCAAAATATTATAAGGCATCAATAAAGTACATGTATCAAAAAAGCATACTAGTTCAAATACCAGAATGGTGATAGTACATAGCATTATTTGTGCTTGGCAGTTTTGAATTACGCACACAAAAACAGCAGCTTGTAGAAATTGGTCATTTTTGGGAACCGTCCAAATTAAGATATTTATATATAGGTTTATCTCTAACTTTACAAAGAGGCTCATATTTTAAAGGGAATATACATCATTTGCTTTTGCTGTAATTTTCAGAAATGGATGGAATTGGGGGGTTGCAAATATATAGCAAATATAGTTACACTGACTTTTTTGAGGTTTTGGGTTCAAAAATGCTATAAAAACCAAGAAAAACAATCATTTTCCTGTAGTCTGGTTCCCTGACTCCATTTAAGAAGAAACAGAGCAGTTTACATACATTGGGGAATTGTAAGGTCAGGGAACCAGTCTAGCTGGCTTGTACCCGTTCATAGGTGTGTAATCGATTGCAAACAAGTGCGATGGTCAATTGGGGCCAGTATTTGAAAAAAGCCAGTTGTTTCCAACGCTGGTCGGTCGATCAGCGTTGGAAATTGATACAAAAATACCACTTTTCTTGAAAATGACAGTATACCAGGTGCCATGATTTTACAGGATGCTTTACACTGTCATTCACTAACAGTCCAGCAAGGTATTTCAAAATGATTTGGTAATTTTATTTTTTGATGTTTGCAAATGTTGTATTTTCCCTTTAAAGCATTAATTTTTTTTCAGGTACTGTGTACAATTGTTGTACATCTCTATTAACAGTATTCAACTTTGGGATGTTTTTTATTCAAAATTTGCAATTCATTGATCTGTTTGTCATTGTGAACTGATTTTGTTGTGCAGTGTCTCACTTGAAAACTCATAATTAAACTTGCAAATATCTCATGCTTAAAAAAAATCAAAGTAAATTTATTTTCTCTGTTCGGAGTTGGTTTTTTAGTTTGTTCGTTTTTGTCTATCAGGTCTTGACCCACAAGATAACTATTCTACCAGCACCTTCGACGTACCAGTGACTGGCGCTGCCATAACGGATCCTTATCACTATCTGACACATCAGCACTTCACCTCAGAGATCTTCAAGATTGAGATCCAAAACCTCCCAAGACATTTTGGATTTGTGGTGAGTTTGCTCTCTAAGCATTCAACTCTCGATAATGATATACAGTTTGTGCTCTATTAAGAGTTCACGATGTTCTCCATGGTGAAGATTTCTCAGGGTCTTTATGTAATTTTGTATAACAGAATTTAAAGGCAATTGGATGAATTTCACTAAAGCCTGGAAATATCCTAGCCTCATGTCTATATGAAAGTAATGGTAAACTGCATGTAGAAAGTTTTGATGGTGGGTGATATTAGTTGGTCGTGAGTGAGAGCTCCCTCTTGCGGGGGTTATCGCTGCGGGGTTTATCGCGTATCAAACCATAATAACGTCTAGCCCCTAGACTAGGTATGTGGGGCTGTCTGATGAGATAGGCATTGGTGTCTGTGGTTATCACTTATTGCACCATTGGTAAAAACCTAGCCTATTCTATGGCCACACACTGGAGTAATCTCTGTGCTAAGGGCCATACAAATGTGAGCTCAGCAAGTTGGTAAAATGATGCATTTTTTTCATGGAAATATTTTGGCCTGATATTTGGCATAGGGGTTCTTTTTACCCAAGCGTCCCACTTTGTGCCGAAACCTCATATGGTTCAATACTTTGAGGTGTCCACTGGAACGTAAATTGTCAAACAATTGGCCATGCACAGCGGCCAATTCAAGATCAACACACAGTCTGGCCTGTATGACTTCACAGACTTTTGTGTGTGTGCAAAAGCAGAACGTTACCCGGAGGTGAGTGGAGGCAATTTTGACCTTTTAACCCTAGAAAATCCATCAGCCGTGCCTGTGCATAAAAACAGCCAGTGCGTCTTATCACGTCCTCTGATGCAAACTGGTTAAGATGTTACTTTTTATTGTCAAAAGAAGTCAATTTGGTATCTTTATTTTTTGTTGGTATTCAGGGAGACATCAGTTCCCAGCTCAACAGCTCCACCAGTGATCTTCCTGACCTCACCAGACAGTTTTTTTGTGGTCTGTTTCAAGTCGATCATTAGGCTCTGTGAATGACTGCTGAATCTACGAGGTAGTTAAATGAAATCTGAGTTGGGATATTAGAGGTGAAAATGAACAATTTTTGAGAGGACATTTTTTTAGGGTCTCTTGCTACCACACTCCAGCGTTACATGTGAATGAATATTATGAGCATGTCAGCTGGAGTTACTCAAGCTAAGTTCTAGGTTCTGTAACTTAGCTTGAGTAACTTCAGCTCTAATGCTTTCGCATTAGAGCTGGAGTTGAATGTCAGGCAAGTCGACCGTTGAGACAACTCGACTCGGGACAAGTCGACCGTTGAGACAACTCGACCCTTGAGACAAGTCGCCTGGTTTGACAACTCGACTCGGGACAACTCGACCGTTGAGAATGCTCGACTCAATGGAAATGTATACACATGGAGCGGAAAAAGTTGCATAAATCTGTGGCAGGACCCGGGCACTGCACGGGCATACTCGATGCACAGAGGGCGCTCCGATCCGGTGGCCCGCGAGGACCGGGCCCGGCCCGGCACGCGGGCACGTCAACCGGCGCGGCAAGTGGACTTACAGGCCCGGCAAAAACGATGTCACCGTGCACGGTACGGCCACGTTGACCGGGGATGTGCGCGGCCCAGAAAAACAGACGATGTGCACGGACAATCACGCTGCGCTATATCAGCTTTTTTTTATTTTACATGCAACAAAAAAAATCATGTGTCATAACTCCCAAACGGCGATCAGTCGCCGTCAAAATCCCCGGTACTATCCCCAAAACTAGGCCCCAAAACAAGTGAGTCGAGTTGTCTCAACGGTCTACTTGTCTGACCCCCCTGGAGTCACAACTAATTTAAAAGTACCGGGTCGTAAGAGTCCCGAAATCCCGGACTCTGTATCCCCAGTGCATTACAAAAATGGTCCATTTTCCCTATATTATCCCGACCCAGATTCCATAGTTCATACCTCATACGATGCAACAGGCATTTACGAAGCTTGTAATCGACTTCAAACAGAACAATGAAGACTAAAATATGAAATTTTTCAATGATTTTGGTGGCAATTCTCGAGAAACCATGAGAAAAGTTGCGCGGCACTATTCTGCCGACCGCCGTTGACCCCCCCAAAAAACACAACTTCGGCAAATAAAAACATCAGATTTACCTCAAAACAGCCTTCAAATTACTAGATACGCCACCTGAGGTACAAGGAGAGATCGATGATTAAAATCAAGGTGCTGAAGTTTGCTTACGAGTCGGATAAAAAGTGAAATTTCCCGTTCAATTCCGTGAGCTCCCCTCGCGATCTATTTAATTTGTGTATTTGTGATTTAATTTGTGTATTTGTGTAAGTCGGCAAAATGACGACTTGTAGCAGAAGCCAACATTCGCGTAAGTCGTCACAAATTCTCTGATCCCGAGAGTGCCGTCTTAGCTGGAGTTTATTGTAGGATCCAAAACCTGAAATTTTCGGGGATTTCAGGACCTAGTGCCCCTTTAAAGTTTATTTTATTGGAATATTATTTGAAAATCTTAAATGGAAAATTTTGTTCTAGAAAAAATTGTTCTAGAAATTAAAACACTGAAAATCGAACCGGGAGGTTTTCAGTGATGGAATTGTGCCAATTTGGTAGAAACAATCAAATTCACTTGTGATTTTGTGGTGTATATGAATAAAAAAAGAAAGAAGTCTGCACATTTAATGCTGTGTAGTGAATATTCATGTTTGAAAATGTATTTACAGAAATAGTGTATGATAATATTTGTTAATTTGTTTATTTTATCATATTCACCATTTTAGCTCAATGAATACAAAGCTGTCATCACGGCTACCGAGGTATTTGAAGCTTCTCTACGGAAAACAGGTCAGTCAGCAGTTACACAGCAAACCAAAACAAATAATCATACAGAATATTTATATAATATTGGATGGCTTTGAGGTGGATACAAGAATATATTGCATGAGCTATGACAATATTGCACGAGTCGAAGACAATATATTCTTGTATCCCCCCCCCCCCAAAAGCCATCCAATATTATTATTTTTTATATCGAGCTGACTTAATTCGCTAGAAATACAATTCAAGACACTGTCTTTATTTCTCCTTTTTCGTCAAACTATTTGAAGCTGCCATTGTAATTGTTGACAACAGTGCACGTATATCTGGCCTGCTGCGCGCTGCATGCTTGCTGCGTGGGCGTCTTTGTTCAACGGTACCGCGCACTACGCTCTGTTGAGTGGTTGACAACTGTGAGTTTCCAGCGAAAATGCCTGGATGAGGGCGCGCCGGAGAATTTCCAAATGATTGCTATCTTGGTTCGTTTCACAAAAGCATACAATACGCTGATTTATTTTTGACCGCTGGAAGCCTCATATAAATAATAAAATGAAACACTGCCTTGAAGCTAAATATTTGAAATAGCAGAGAATTTCTCTTATTCAGGGTTTATTGCAGAAACTGCTTCTCCACTGCTGACCTACGCCAGAGATGTCAATGTCCACTGTGCTAACAAAAAGGTGAATTATTTTTCTCAATATGTTGTGGCAACATTTCTTTAATAGCAACATTCAGTTTGTTTGGACTTGTGACTAGACTTGTGACTGGACTTGTGAAAGGACTTGTGAAAGGACTTGTGATTTTCTCGTGATTGAACTCGTGATTTACATGTGACTGGACTTGTGATTTATTTGTGACTGGACTTGTGATTTACTTGTGACTGGACTTGTCATTTACTTGTGACTGGACTTGTGATTTACTTGTGACTGGACTTGTGATGTACTTGACTACATCCCTGACATTGTTTATGTTTGGTTTATTTCATTTTTGCAAGTGTCAAGAGCTGATAGTTGAAGCCCGCAAGCTGATGAAGAGAGAGCTGCACAATACAAAGAGAGTCGGTACAATGAAGGTTGACAACAAGAACCTCAAAGATCAAAAACAAGATGCCAAGGTTAGAATTTGTTGGAAATTGTGCGCTTCAAGACTAAACTGGATTTGATTTTGTCATTCTAATCAGCCTTTAAGAGTTCTTGCAAGTTTAAAACATTAATTGAAATATTTATTGTTGAAATGTGTTGAATGAACTTATCGTATTAAATATAAAATTTCACTTGAGGACACTTGCAATGCATATTTTTTACTTCTTTCAGGACAAGTGCCACGTCAGCGAGGGTATCTTTGCACTGCCTGAGTGTGCAGTCAGTGAAAGCATAGAGTGTCTTGTTAATCTAGCCTACCAGACATTACAAGAAGCTGGTAGTAACACACCACAATGGTGAGTTGGACATAGATTAATTTGGGGGGCTAATCATCCTTACTCGCAGCAGAAGCTGAATTGTGAAGGATGCGGCTACAACGTGGTCGAGCCAAAGGCATGTTATGTACAAGCGCCTCAAGCAGCCATCGTATGACCCTCGTGGCACAGGAGAGAGTTAATGAACAACTCTACTCACATATTACCCGATCCGGGAATCGAACCCAGGCCACAGCAGTGAGAGGCAAGTGCTTCACGCACTGCGCCACCCATGCCAACTGCCTGATGTGATGTGTTTATGCTATTCTCACCATAGTAAACTAAAGTCTGTCGTGAGCCAATATGGTCCATCGGGCCAGCCGTTATCTATGGTTTCCTTGGTATGAAATGATTCAATATTTCTACTCCCCCTGGATGGGATGCTAGCCCATCGCAGGTTACTCCCCAGCTGATGCTAGTACCCATTTACATCCTGGGTGGAGAGAGGCAAGTGGGGGTAAAGTGGCTTGCCCAAGGACACAGCATATGGCCAGCAGCTGGATTCAAACCTCTGAGCCTCTGATCAAGAGTCACGAACCCAAACCACTTTGCCACACTCCCCTGTGTTGGAAATTGTCCCATATCATGTGAAAAAGCAAGAGTGCCTTTTTTTCCATGCAAATTGAAATGTGTGGAACATTTTATAGGTCAGTGTACACAATATTCAACTAAAGGATTCCTGAAAATGTCTTATTTTTATGTTTGCAGTGCCATCCAACTGTTCTACACAGTGCGAAACATGTTTGAGATATTTTGCGATGTCGTACCCACATACCACAGAGATAGTCTGGTGAGTCAACTTCTGGACTTTTTCGAACAGTCATCTGGTATTTCACTGCCGTCTGCTTGTTGAGCCAAAAAAAAAATGCACAGAAGCAAATGTTTCCATGTACCTTTAACAGGCATGCAACTGGGAATTTTGAAAAGAACGAGGAAATTCCAAACCACACATGACTTTGTTCAGTGTTTTTCAATTTGTAATGGCATTATTATAATTATAATTATTCATGAGAAGTAAATAACGAGGAAATCAGTGGATCCAAGGAAAAATTGCATGCCTGCTTTAACCAGTTTGCCCAAGAGGCCGTGTATACACGCAAAAGTTTTGGGTACTCCGAACCGATGACAGATAAACACGCAGGGAGAGAGTCCGGAAATATCTGTCAGTGACCCACTCGCAGCAAGCGAGGCTGGAAATATGAGTGTGCTGCCCGAGGGTGATGGCTTCAACCGGCCTGGCTTGAGGTCGAGTGAAAATATATCCCACGCCTCGTTCCGTTCTTGTCAAAATAATCCCAGCGTGAACAGGTTAAAGGAAGGATGAAATCAACAACCAAAGTAATGTTGATATTGTCTTAACATTTCTTTTACAGAAATCTTAAATTCTTTATTATTTTTGCAAATTTTTCTCGTGAAACAGCAAAAGCTATCTCTGGAGTGCGCACTCCACCACAACAACTGCATGTACATCGTCCCATCACCTGCTGACGCTGGGCCATCAGTATCGTCAATCCTTACCCCCGCCCCTCTGTGACGGCACATCCACATTTGTCGACCTCATCCCTGTCTTCAGGAAGCTGGCATCCGAATGTTTCTTGGTTCAAATGGTAAGAAACAGCAGCCTATGTTTTCTCATTTATACCCAGTCACCACAGCTTCCAGGCAGTCGATTTCTACTGTACCTCCTGATATGTCAGTAGAACTTAACTTCATCACCGAGTTTATTTTATTTGCGTAGAACTGTTATCCCCTTGTGAACCCTAACCCTGTCAGATGCAACACAGTGCATCAGGTGCAAACATCTGTGGGACATTGGTGCACTGAGCCTTCAAAACCAGTGCAAAAACAGCCAATTCTGAAATGCCACAGTTGTATCCTGGTGCAGTTGGTGACCACAGACTCTGAGGCAGTTTAGCCTCAGAAGCGTAAGCAGAAGTCAAACCTTTTATTAATCTCCATTTAGTTAACTTTGTAAAATCGTAGTGGCTATTGTTACGACAGCCGTAATGCGATTTTCAAATACTATCGTTACGGAATTTGAAAAAAAAAATGTTATAGAGATCTTAAGTTTCAGGTTTAAATCAAATTTTTCTTTTTATTTAAGTAGATTTCATTTTCTTTCTTGAAAATTGGAGGATTTGTGGAAATAGGGAAATAAAGTCATAGAACCATTTTGTCGATTCCAACAGCCAAAGATTGTGACGTTGAATACTGGATTGACCTATCGCCGTTTGCAAGTTAGCCACGCTCCTTCACAACCCTACAGAATTTGTGTACACTAAGTATTATTGTCTCAGATTTTGCGCGTTCCTCATCCATCAGTATATCATGTAATTGGACAATATTTCACAAGCTGCGTTGATGCGATTCTACCACAAAAGGTCAACTATGTCAGGAAACCAGACAGTTTTGTAACGATAGCAGTTGAAAGTCATGTTACGTCTGTCGTAACGATAAAGTGTTTCACGGTAATATGCGCCATCTTCCCCGCTGGGCAATTTTACACGCGTTCTGTGTACACATCGTCATTGGAAAGTTTTGGCGCTTCCAAGTCATCATGCGTTCAATCCAAAGTGCACCCGCGTCTAGCAACGTGTGTTCTTTGTGCCCCACGAATAAGATAGCGCACATTACCATGAAACACCTTATTGCCATGGCGTTATTATTTCATATGCCCTCTCCTAAAACAAATTCTTTTGAATGGATATACAAGTATGGCTTAGTTCCACCCCACTTAAATACAGAACTGGTACAATTGAATTTTCTGCATCAAATTTCAAACTTGGTAATAGGCCTAGTAAATGGATTTCATAGGTTTAGCCCTAGGTGAATAAATTATTATTTTATTTCCTCAGAAAATGATGTTGACTTAACTCAGTCCAACTTGAATCTGGCTGGCGGTCGGTCCTCTGGCTGTAACATGGATCTGAAACTACATAACCAGCTGAGTAAATACATGTACCTAGCCCCAGGTAGACAAATATTTGCATTTTTTCACCTTTGCAGATTTGTCCTTTACCTACATTTACTTGCAGAATCCAAAACAACAATTTCAGTGACATTTGTGCATAAGCTTGTTTTACGTATACACACCTTGTGTTCAACTTGAAGTACTTTTACTGTTAATTTGCGCCAATTTCATGGGGCAAAAAGAGCACGCGTGCTTGAGTAATGCACATCCATCGAAAACTTTTGCGCTTCCAAGTCATCATGCATTCAGCAACATGTATTCGTTTTGTCCCGTGATTGATGCAACTTGCATAAAGGTGATATACCAAATGCTCTTAATAATTAGAGTTTTTTTCTCCTTACCAATTTTAAATTGTTTTGTTTTGTAACCAAAAGTATTTTATTCTGATTTTAGGCATCTCAACTCACTGAATAAGGGCTTTCATTTTGGGCACAAGAACCGGCTTTGCGAGAGCAGAATTATTGTCTGACGGCCGATAATTCAATTTTTGGAAAGAAATCATTCAATATCTATAAACGTATGTGGATTTTTTTCAGTCGATGTCACAAAAAGTGAATTAAAAAAAAACCAATCTATTTGTCGAGGTAAACTCAAAAGTAGCACGGGAAACACGTCTTTAAACAAATTCTATGAAAATGCCCCATTTCAAATCTGTGCATCTTTGATGGCATAATTGAAAATTTTGCATTTTTACTTAATCTTGCAGAATTTGACGTCAGTATAGATGATAATGGGGAAATCGTCAACATTCTTAATGTCATCAAGGTAAGAATGAAATCTTGACATTCCAGTTAGTTTCAACCTCGTGTCAAAAAACCATGTCCTACTTTTGACCCTAAATAACTCTGTTGTTTACCAATGAAGTTAAACCGAAATTTCAGATCATGTAAACAAGGCATAACATTTTATGGAGTGAGTTTCATCAGCTTTGTGCAAGAGGGGGAGATTTGAACTCCATACGAAAAAAATACTCACTTAAAAAGACTCCCTAAAAAAGACCTAAAAAACAAAACAAAGACAAATTAGAAGCATTTAACCTGCCGGTAGACATAGACGCGTAAACGTTCACAGGTCCTAGGCCTAGCCTTCCAATGCATTGCCTACTGAAAAAACGGCACTAGACTTTGTTGACAAGACAATTTGACGGAGTGATGTGTCCAGGTATGGGAATCTTTCTGGGGTATTCTTTTTATTGCTTTGCATACATTGTTGGGTAAGACTTAAGTCTTTTTATAGCTCAATAATACTTCACTTTAGCCCCACTAGTGTGGCCGCGGTATGCTGCGCTGAACCTCTGGCCACACACCGTGGTACCGCACACTACTGAGGGCGTTTTCATCAAAATGACGGTCCGTTTCTTACATATGGTTGTATTCTATGATGTCTCATCTATCACTTCTGGGATACTTAGGTGTAATGATGTTCAATTTTCCGAGATATTCTTGAATCTTTCTGGAGCCCATATGCACTCGTGAAACGTCTGGTGATGGCAGCCATTTTGAATGTGACAAGAGATGACCTCAAGCTGTGACGTCGCGTTTATGCAAATTGCTTGTCGAACGAGGGCGCGAGTTGCAAATGCGACGGCTGTTTCCTGTACCATGCATTTATCGTCTGGGGCCACGTGCACTGATCTGAGTGAAATGTTTATTGATTTCATTTTATTTCATTAACAGCTTTGAGAACGGAGTTGAGGCCAGACAGACAGGGGGCATAGGATTGGACTGCATATTTGCTCTGAGGTAATTTTATCTAATTCATTTAATGTTAGACACTATTCGTTATTGAACTTTTCTCTCAGCTGCTATGATCACTACAAAATAACTAGAAACAGCAACAAAGATGTATTTGAATCCCAGGACATACCGTTATTTTGTTTTACCATTTTGGATTTCCTCAAAAATTTGTGAACGAACTATTGACCGTTTTGTCATTTTACAGTTTTACAGTTTTGTAAAACGGTCAAACGGTATTAAGTCACACACAAAAAATACTTTTTGTTGTTGTTTTTAATTGTAAAAAGCGTTAAACGGTTAGTTGCTTTATTTTAGAGTGTTGTTTTACAAAATCATGACAATGACAAAACGGTCAATAGTCTTGCCGACCATTTTTTTGATTTAGGTTCGGCAATTAAGCAATGCACCTAGGAATGTTAATGCGTCCTAGAGATCGAGTCATTGCCTGGGCCCTCCTTGCATTTTCGTTCTCACAACATAATTTGCGAATTAGCTATTGAAGAGCCGCGTCGACTTAAACTCCAATTTCCTTCAAAATATCTGCAACTTCATCAAACGTATTACCATCCTGTATCCATTGTGGATAATTGTGGATAAGTAATGCCCTCCCTTGCAGTTTTCCAGCGCCATTTTTGCTTGCAACTCTTTAAGCCCCACCAACTGAATGGCATGAGAAGGGGGTCAGGGTCCGCGCCAGGAATCACACCACGCATTAATTATGCCGAGCCAACACTCTTGTAAAGCAGGGTCCCCCTCCACCCCCTTGCCCACCGCCACAAAATGCACCACGGACTGTTAACTATGACACTAAAATAAAACAGTGTGTATTCAATACTGACCGTTTTGCTGTTTTTCAAATTTATTTGTGTAAAACAAAAATAATCGATCGTTATGCTATAATGAATTTTACTAAACTTATAAAACGGAGAAACCGTATTGATATTAATACCGTTTGTCGTTTTATAAAACTGTAAAACGAGGAAACGGTCAATGGTTCGTTTACTGTTTTTGTTTTCGAGGAAATCCAAAACCGTAAAACGAAATAACGGTATGTCCCGGGATTTATTTGACACTCTGGAATGCTTTGTACACTTCGGATGAACACAATACAAATATATATTGAGTCATAAGGAAGAGCAAGTCAGCCACAGCCAGATTGGATAAGTAGATGTTGATGATTGTACTCATTGACTTCACTCGAATGCCTGTGAAGAGAAAGACCAAGTTTAAGAGGAGGCCGATTGGTGCATTGATTTCAGTACTTAACCATAGTATTTGTTAATTTCTTTTGTGAGTCTTGATAAAGTTCTCAAGGTGCTTTTCAACTTCATCGTTCTCCATATCCAACATTTTATTCAGATGTAGCAAAGAGTGTTCTGTCCTAGTCAAGATCACTCCAGTTTTATACTAACAGCGAATATAAGACCTGCAGCAATGTGTAGTTGAAATAAAAAGCTTCTGCATTTTTTCCCCTGAGAGTTTTTTTATCTTGAAGATTTGTAAGGATTAGTTCTTTGTTCCTTGTTTTGAATGCATACTAAACCAAAGTAGACAATAGAGTTTCACAGTTGACTTTGGCATAGATGTGCTTCAGAATAACTTTTTATTTTCTCTTCAAGACTTTTTTTACATGTACATTGTGTAATCCGTCGTAAAGGTTTTGCTCATATCTAGGTTACTTAAGAAAAAGTGAAATGGCACTCTGTACTTTTTACAGAGTTTTACAGCTTATAAAAGATCACAGACATAACGTAACGCTTGCATTATCTATAACTGAATAAAATTAGATGCAGATCAAAAAATGACACAAAATCTTTCAGGTCGTTCACTACATTTTGCTTACAACATATTTATTTATATCTCACATATAAAAACTTGACACAAGCTTTAGATCTGGTGTTTGGATAATCAAGAAAGACATTTAAAATACAGATACAAATAGTCACTGCATCAACAAAGATTTGAAACCATGGAATTCCTACACTCTCTTGCTTGAAATTGAAAGTGTACTTAGACTTCTGCTATCAAATGTTATACTAAGAAATTACCCATGAACTTTTCTTTTTGTTCTTGGCCCAAACTGATGACCAGCTTTGCCAACAGATTGGCTCCCGTCCGTACAATATTGATACTGATTGTGGAGGGGGGGGGGACCAGCCTATCCAGCAAGAACAGAAATAATGTTTGGCAGCCAATAATTTGGAATTGTAAAGTAATAATTCAATAACTAAACGTGAGCTTTTTTGTGTTTGGTGTTTCATTCAAAAGTGAATAACTTTTGTATTGCTTGAAAAATAGCAGATTGGTAAAGAAATCTGTTTTTCGGGATGAAACTCGAAAATAGCACGGAACTTTAAGTAAATTTAGTACTTCATCCGGCATTTATTGAGTAAAACTGTTATGTGGACAGTTTTCCTTGTTTTTTTCCCTTAGAAGGTACAGCATTAAAGGTTGCATGTCTGTGTAGAGTGTGTGTGCGATTCACAGTTTCAGATGATTCTTATTTTATCTGATAAACTGTCTAAGTTGAACACATTACCCTCATTGTTTCAAGCTTAATCTTTAAACTGTAGTTAGGAGAATGGTTGTATGTAGAAAGATGACAAGTTCCACACACAATCCATTACTCTTTGGAGATACGGTGGACACAATACGAAGGCGCTATTTGGTTTGGGTCTAGTCTTTTGCATAAGTTACCCCAATATACCCAAATCAAATAACACCCTTGTATTGTGTCTGCCATATATCGCAAAAGGCTTATAGCAGTTGAGCTATTCACTTTTTCCAAAATTTGTTAAGACTCTGGAATACTGAATGTGCTTTTCACATCTTTTTCCAATCTACAGGTTAAACAACATGGTGACTCCACTGTGGAACCAGCCGTATGAGGACCAGCTATCCACCAAACAGACCAACACCAGGGAGTTTCTGAGGAATTTATCCAAGATGCTGCAACGGAACATTGGGGGAGATGTCTCCCTGGCTGAAGCAACAAAGGTGAGCTACTCACCAAAGACACAGGATGGTTGTGGGCCAGAATGGAAATGTGATCTTCGTTGACAAAAAACTTTCAAAACACAGTTTTCTGGCAAGTGGACTTACATGTACAGCTGCCCTGAAATTTCTTTAAAAGTTCAGAAAATGATGCCTCATTTTTCTTGAGAATCAGTTAAAACTCAGCAAAGTTTTAGCCAATTTCTGAAATAAACTTCCTTTCCACACACAAAAGTCCCAAAGATTAAAACGGGGAGGGGGGAGTTGGTTAAAAAAAAATGTTTAAAAACAAAAAACAAAAAAATGAACACAAAACCAAAACTTGGGTGGGATGTGAACCCATGACCTCCTGCTTACTAGTGCAGACATCTTAACAACTCGCCAGCAGAGCTTACCAAGATTGGTCAGCCAGTTTGAATCTTGTGCATATAATAGCTGTGGTTACCACAAGAAGAAATTCACAAGCCTGTTGGAGTGGGATTCGAACCCACAACCTCGTGTTTAATAGTGCACTCTTCATTTCATTGGCAGGAAGAGCCACAGTGGGATGGCATTCAACCTGGATTTCTTGTTAGATAAACTATACAGCATGTGAATCTTTTGTGGGGTAAATATTCCTGACATTGGAGATGTCTGATTTGTTCCTTTCATTTTCATTGTTTGTTTGCACACTCACAGCCAGTATTAGAGAGTTATCGCAACAAGTGTGAGTTTACCATCGGCAAGAGTGTAGATGGCATTGGTGAGTGAAACTGGCATTTATTTTTAGTTATCCAACCTCTTCATTTTTTTGTGTGTATGCGCTCCGTTCACAAGCACCCCCTCGCCTGGATATCAAGTGTGCACACATGTACTTAATGCACCTGTTATGAAAGCTGAACAGAAAGTTCCAGGATTTTTTTTCTCAGTTATTCCCCTAATTTTTTTGTCAGGTCTTCATGAAACTTGGCCCTGGATAAATTGTGCAATAGTTTCGGTATCATTCAGTCTTCTTATTTTCATTGACAGATAACACTGTTGGTTTCCGGCTTGGCGCTTACAAAGGTAAGTATTTCCTCTGAAGTTCCATTTTGGTAAAAGACGTAGATCAGCTTTCATGTTTGATTGGATCAGCTGTCGAGGGGTGTGGCCTATTAGTAGCTAATGCTGATCAATTCCAACCAATCAGAGTGCAACACACAGAAAGATTGACAGGTGTACATATTGTGCATTGTCTATTATGTCTGTCAGGAATTAATTATTGAAAAGAAAGAAACAAGCCACAAAAGACTTAAACCCTTGTCATCCCTTTGCTAACCAATATGTTGGCTTACTTTTGTGGCATGAATATTGAGGGTATATGTTTGTACTTTCAACATTGACCAGCAAGCTGTTTTACTCAGTAGGGACTTTTCAACAATTACATTTGTACAAGCAAGAATTAGGTTTTAAATACAAACTTCAGGAAAATCACTATTTATTTAAATGTTGCTAGTGTACACTTTTATTTATTTTATCACTGATCTTGCTTTTACACGCAAATTTTTTTGTCGTATAAAAAGTATGTGACTTTTAGAAACATGGTTTGCCCTGCAATTTGTTTTTTGCAAATATTGCTAGGTATCAGAAAGACGTAAGAGCTCAAACACCGATTTGGTGATAGTACATTTCTGTATTATTTGTGTTTAGAGTTTTAAATTACACAAGGAAATAGCAGCTTTAATGAACATATAAAAAGCAGCAATTCCTCGGATACTGTGCAAATTAAGATGCATCTTGTATGATGCTAACTTTACAACGACATTCATATTTTACAGCATTGATTTTTCAATTACCCAAATTCGAAGCACCCTTGAGTCCATCTAAAAGAAATATTAGAATATTGCTTTGCATTTAAACATCATACAGACATGGAGCTCATAATGTAATACAACAGACTAGTGGTACTACACAGATTATGTACAATTATAGAGCATGCAAGTCTCGCCAGTTCACATTCACTTTTCATGTGAACATCTTGGTACCAAACACTGACTAGTCTAGCCACAGACTCCCGTCTTTGAATTCACCCAATGAAAGGAAGTGGAGGTCCACATTTTTTCATTTTACTATAGTAATCAACTTGCAATATTTTTTGAATGTGTTGTAAATTGGAATGATTTTTTCTTTGACTGGATAAACCTAGACTGGATAAACCTAGTAAAATCACCTAGGTTTTTGAGGTCAACTTCCACAGAAGTGGAGTACAAATTGCTGACTTTAGCCCGGTTCATACTTCACATGAAAGCATGTGCGAAGCAAAATTCATGTCGTCAACAATGGACGCCCTTCGAATGTATTGCTGACGTCACGAATTTCGCTTCGCTTTCGCGTGAAGTATGAACCCGGCTTTTAACTATCAACTACATTTTTTTCCAGCTAGTAGCTGTGAAGACACCTTTAATACACCAGACTTAAATCCCATACTGTACATCTAAAGCCTACAATGGTCTCATATTATATATCTTTGCTCTGCAGAAAGAAAAGTCTTTACCCTTGATTTCTCCTTGCTAAAGGATTTTTCAAGAAACTTCGAACAAAAAAACAGCACTTTATTTGGTCTTCCAAAAAAGTTATCCTCATTGTGCAACATGTATGCTTAAAGATTGGTATACATTTGGAATCCGATGCTCCTAATGCATAACTTGCAACTTTGTTACTTAGGCTGTGTCTGAAACGGGCTTCTAGAGCTATGGCTACGGCTATTGTCAGATTGTTCCCATGTAATTGTTATGGGTGAAGACCTAGACAATATAGCTCTAGCCATATCAATTTTTTTAATCTGTTCATTTGTGCATCAGGTCTTGACCCACAAGATAACCATTCCACCAGCACCTCTGACGTACCGGTGACTGGCGCTGCCATAACGGATCCTTATCACTATCTGACGCAACAGCACTTCACCTCAGAGATCTTCAAGATTGAGATCCTAAACCTCCCAAGACATTTTGGATTTGCGGTGAGTTTGCTCCCTTAACATTGAACCCTCAATAACAATAACCATACAGTTTGTGCCTTTTTAGGAGTATGTATGTATTGTGCTCCATGCTTGGGATTTGTCAAGGTCTGTTAATAACAGAATAAAAAGGCTAAAATGAATTTCACTAAAACATGAAATATTCTAGCCCTGTGTTTGTATGAAAGTAATGACCACATTTTACGCACACTTTTTTGCAATGCCCGTGCACATGTTCACAATTGTTTCTAATGTTGCTGTGATGTCGATTTAGGTATTTTACACTTCACAGCTTTGGGATTTTCTGTATAATTTATGAACCTAAAATTCATTGCATTGTACATGTGTAAAAGTTTGTACATTTAAGTATCTCATTGGCTGCATGCTATGTGCTAATGAACGTAACAGTCACATCAAACTTGATCAAAACACTTTTGTTACATTTTGTCCCCTCAAACAGCTGTGACACTGAAGTTCCAGCTCATAACATCGCTGTATTGCTCATGAATATGGAATATTTTAAAGCCTGAAACATCCAAAGACTTGGAATATAGTTCCTAAAATTAAAACCTCAAAATATGTTTAAAGGCACTTTAAAAAAAAAACTTTATTTACAGTGAACAATTTCAGGATTATCCATATGTTAGTACCAATACATGTACATTGTCACACTGAAAAAGTAACAAACAAGCTCATTAAACGGAAGGGTAGATCATTTGTCATTTGTGCATTTTTTTTTCATTTGAAGCTACAAAAGTGCTCACAATCTAAAAACGGGTGCTTAACAACTAACACGATGAAGTTTTAGCTCTGTGAATGCAGTATATTCCAAACATATATTCTAGGATCTCAGGTTCAATTCAAAAGTTGCTGAGTCATGTTTTATATTGTGTCTGAATTCAGCCCCAGGGACACATTCTCATTCAGTCAATTGCAGCTACGCGATGTCATGCACTGAACTGACGAATAATAGCAACCTAATGTGCGTGTGCGTCGTGTCAACGCTTGCGCGCACATATTCATGGATTCACCAAATTTACAAACCAACTACATGAACTAACTTGATGCATCGTTGGAAATAGCTTTCTTTCATTGTTTCCTTCAAAATGACAGCATGCCAGAAAGAATGATTTCACAGGGAGTTTAGTGCCATTAAAACCAAAAGCCTTTAACAATAATTTCGTCAGTTACCTTTTGGATAGCTGCAAATGATCTACTCTACCTTTAAACACAAACAAAAGTTTGATTCAAATAATTAAAGTACTTGGGATTTGTTAATTTCTGAACCTTTTACATACATACATTGCATGAATACCAGCTGTTCCCTTTACTGATGGTTGCAATCTGCTCTGAGCGGGCCTGCACATTACCGATGGCATGGTGCGTACATGTATTGGCAATTCACTGAAGTAAAACACATTTCAACTCCAGCATAATGTGATGTTAATGTTTCTCGATGTCAAATCTACTTCATTGGCATTCCAATGAAGAAGATGTATGAAACGGCCTTAAATCTGCTCTACACTTTGAACACAGCAAGTTCAAAAGCAGCACTCACTCTACACACTGCTGCCCTTAAAGACAGCTTGCACTTATCAGGTACCAGTGAACATTGTTCTTGACAACTTTCCAAAGATTAGATCCCTTCTGGTTCAGGATGTGCATACTGCTACCCTTGTGCTGATGGCTCGGTGCCAGTCAGCCCAGGACATTGTTCCTGAGTACTTGCAAGTGACTGCTGGCTCTCTGCTGGTTCTGGATGTACATACTGTTCCCCTTGCATGGATAGCTTGCAGTCAGTCAGACTAGAGCATTGTTCCTAATGAGAACTTGCAAGCGCTGGGGTCCCTGCTGGTTCTGCATGTACCTCAACATGCACTTGAACATGCTGCTGACTGTGCATGGATGCCTTGCTGCTGCTTTGCCTGGAACATTGTTCTTGACAGCTGTCCAGTGGCTGCTTTCTCGCTGTGTGTTGTGCATGCCCTTGGCTTGGTGGCTTGCTGCTGCTTGGCCTGGCAGCACGGTGCTCTTGGTCATTTTCTGCCTGCGGAATCACATGAAGCTCAATCTGCTTCTCTGGCTGCGATGGTCGGCTGGGATTCTGTCTTGGGCAACAACGACAGCACAGTTTCAGGAATGAGAAAGCCTTGACTACAGCTTCACGAAAGTCAGCGTTTGTGGCACTGTAGACTAGGGAATTAATTGAGCTATTGGTCAGTTGCAAAATTGCAATGCATATAGTCAGAGTATTTATTGTCTCTGCAAGTTCCAGATTGGCAACAATCTGAGCAGTTGAAGTAAACTTTGATGCCACTACAAGTACATGAATTGTCATAATTGCAGCTGCAGTGTACAGTGAGTTCAGAATGAAGAAAACAGCAGTGTTGATGATAACCATGCAGAGGACCTTGCCTGCTCGCTTGGGACGGTTCGGAAACAGGGCTGATTGCTTGCGTACTTTCAGTACTACATAGATGTACAAAGCAAGAGTTGCTATCAAAGAGGCAATGTTAATAATGGAAAGAATCCCAAGGTTGACTTTATTGAAGACAGCGTCTGTTAATGGTAAGAAAATCAGAATCACAGCAACAATAATTGTTGGCACCCAGAGTCCTGCTGATATCTTTGCTGCTCGAGATTTAGAGGCTTTTTCTTTGAATGTTATAGGATTGCACACTGCAGAGAATCTCTCAGCTGCTATGGTAACCACAAAGAAATTAGAAGTAGCGAGGAACGTGCTTTGGAAACTATGTATTGCCTTTTTGACCAATAAGTTGGACTTTATAGGTGAAAACAGTGCAATTATGAAGTAAGTTATAAGGTAGAGGGAGTCAGCTACAGCCAGATTGGATAAGTAGATGTTGATGATTGTACGCATGGACTTCACTCGAATGACTGTGAAGAGAAAGACAAAGTTTAAGCAGAGGCCGATTGGTGCAATGATTTCAGCACTTAACCATGTTATTTGATAAGTTCTTTCTCCACTCATGTAAAAGTTCTCAAGATGCTTTTCAACTTCAGTTTTGCACCCAGTTGATGGAGTGGAGGTGTTTTGGTAGCCATCACCCA